GAGGCGACTAAGTGACGGGATATAACCCGGTATGGGGTAATCAAGGGACAACCGAATGTTAGCTGGAGAGTTGGTTTTTTGTAAAGCAGTGTAGTTCGTAAATGGTTCGAACAAAATCTATCAGATGTGAAATAGCAAGTAAACGAAGATGTAAAATAGCATGCAAACAAAATGGATCCTTTTGTTTAATGTAAGATACTCTGATGTAAAATAGCATGTAATCCCAGGTGGATCCTTTTGTGTTTTGAAACCATCAAATAAGATTGCCCCTTTATTGTAAAATAAGTTAATGGGAAATTGTATGGTGTACTTCTACTCTTTCAACTAAATTTTGAAACAAACGAAGGACTTATCATGTTAAACAAGCAAAATCAATATTCATTATGTTGAACACAAATAGGAAAAGTGTAAACAGAGTATTTGCATGGGAGTAATACTACTAGTCGATGACATGTATAAAAACTTAACAATGAATGAGTGTGTAGATATCCGAGTAACATAATTGTTAAGGTCCATTAGTCTGGCTGCAAGTTTGTCCGTACATGTATATCAATATATTGACATAGTAATAGACACAAAAAAATCTACGTAACGATATCTATAAAACGTCCAAATCCAAATTAAAGATATTTATGTAATGAAAAGCTTTGCATGTAAAAACTTATGTTATTTTAAACTATTAAAGATATATAGGTAACGAAAATCTTAGCATGAAGCATCAACTGTTATTTAAATACTAACTAACGAAAATACTCTTCATTTTGGAGTAGCACATAATTCCCAAATATAAGGTCACTGCCTATCACAACTAAGCGGCTAAAATCCAAATGAAGAAAACATAAAAGTAAAAAGATTACACATGAACATAACCAAAATGCCAAATTTGCAAAACCATAGTAGAGTAGATAATAAAGTTAAGGTATCTTACAAAGATAACAAGAGACGAATTAACAATAAAGACTTTCATACAAAAGGGATTCAGTAACACATTCTTTAAAGATAAGACATAAAGATGACACATAGGTCTTTCAGGCAAACTTTTCGTAAAGGACAACAACCAATTTCTTGGACTCAAGCCCCACAACTCTTGTGGTAATAGATTTACATTTCTCAACTCCACCATGAGCGTGAGTTTGAATGAGAAGAATAACAGTTACTGCAGAATCCGAATGAATGTCGTGTGGGGGATCCCACAGACTCTTTCCAAAGAAAACAACTTCCTCTCTTTCATGACTCCCTTCATAACATATGGAACCATCTGAGCAACAGGAAGGAGATCCTTCTTGATCAAGCTGTCGGTTCTGAAAGACAGGTTGCAATCAAGAACAAAAACAGCCTTCTGGTTGATGTCAACACATACACCTACCCAATGTTGCTTGTCAAGATTAAAAGGGAAGTAAAATCTCTCACCAATACCATTTCTGCCTCCATCATTAACAAAATACTCTATTAAATTCTCTTGAAACACAAAGATTTCTTTATCTTTTGCTGCAATCCTAGAGAATTTGGTGAAGTGCTTCATCAGTAAAGATGTGGACTTGGTGTCGAAGAATTGGATCTTCTTATCGACGGTGCAATGAGACTGCTTATGGTACGGAACACTTGTGTAATGCATCAGAGCATCCATTGACTAGATATTACACAAAAAGGATGAAAACATTTAATTAAATTATAAGACTAAACATTTTGGAGGAAAAACAGATGCTCAAAATAAATCACCTTTGCACCCATTATTTTGGTTCTCCCAGCTATTTCAAGATTATCTTTATTGTTGAGAGAAGAGCCATTCCCCAAGCTGACAATGCTGAGATGTGTAACAAAAATATTAACTATAAGATATAAAAGTAAGGAGAAACAAATATCTTCCCTATGGTAAAAACACAAACAGAGATTACGAGTAACAAAAAAGTTATCCGACAACGCTACTAAGTACAAGTTTAACTCAGTAATTGACCGGTAATGAAAAAAATATATAAGAAACTTACCAAGGCAATTTCAAGAGTTCTTCAAGATCCGCGAACTTGGCAACGTAGTCGGCTTTGAGGTCAAAACCAAACATAAGGGCTTTAACAAAACCAAGAGTGCGACAATCTAATTGGAAACCTTTAAGAACGGGAGGGACTACCCTCTGCCTTTTGCTCTTTCGAACTACGTTGCCATCGTGCTCAACAACTACATTCATTGTCTCGCCTTTGTCATGACCAAGATCCTGATCTCCACCACAATCTTCCTGAGAAAGGTAGAGAGAAAACGAAGGGATGGTGAAAAGATAATACGGAGGATATATCTGTAAAATCAAAGGATAAAAAAGTTCAATGCTATTGTTCTACGGCACATCAAGTTCTCTTAAAAAGACAGTATATTCACTGATATGATGTGGAGAAAATAAAATTCTTACCTCGCCTTCCACAAAAGTTTGCTCAAAACTGGTAGGATCATTAAGTTGCTCGACCTGAAATACAAAGATATACAATGTTGAATAGAGAATAAAAACTT